TTTGCTTTTGTGAAGACTAATTGCTCCCACATGTGACCCCCCCTCACCTTTGGCTTCATGAATCTATTGACATTTCCAGTATCTTAGAAATCTCAGACCAGAGATTCTGATTTACTTAGCATTTTACAATGTTGACCTCTTAAATCTAGGCAGTGGGTCTTTTTTTTGTTTTTTGTTTTTGTCTTTTTTGAGACAGGGTCTCATTATAAAGTTCAGGCTGGTCTTGAGCTCACTTTGTAGCCTAGGTTGTTTTTGAACTTGCAACAAGCCTCCTGTCTCAGCCTCCCAAATGCTGGGATTATAGGCATGCGCCACCACACCTGGATAGCAGTGGGTCTTTCTTAAGACAGTAGGTAATGGTGTTTCCTGATGTTTTTTCCCTATCTTCTAAGAATCATCTCTGTCAGAGCCTGTGAAGAGAATCAGAAAGTTTAGTGTAGATGCCCTAAACTCTGGGAAAAAACAAAACAAAAACAAAACAAAACAAAACAAAAACCTCAGCGGGCAAAAAAGTCAAAGCAGGGCCAGGGGATTTAGCTCAGTGGCACAGTGCCTGCCTGAACCACATGGATCTGAGTTCAATTCCCTGTTTAAAAAAAAAAAAAAAAAAGCAAATGGTTGAAAGGGAACGTTAAGTCATTCTAGCATTCTAGTTATATTGCTCTTCCTATCTTTACACCACTGATTATTGACAGTGGACCATTTTGGAGAAAGAGAAATAACATCTTAATAATAATACTTTTGCAGTACTTGCTATTTTATTTGCTCATTCACCAGGTGTTTATGATGCTGGAACTGAGGATATAGGAAAGGGATTCTCAAGGAGTTCCGAGTCGGGCAGGAAGACACAGTTCAGTGAAAGAAGGGCTATGGGCGGGCTGTGCATAGAAACATGTGAAGGCAGGAACGGTGAGCCACTAATTTGGCCACATATGCTCAGGAAATCCTTCCCAACCAAGGTAGTTTTGATGGACCATCAAACCAAGGTAGTTTTGCAGGACAGTTAGGGGTTGGTCAAGCTGAAGTGTGGCAGAAGTATTGCAGGCATGCAAAACTGCATGTTCACAACTGAGAGATGAGCAAGGGTGCTAGACTACAAATGCCAGGAAATACAGCAGGTGGAGAAAGGATGGAAAATGAGACTGGAAAAGATGGCAGGACCTGGATGTGAAGTTGGTTTTGCAATGGAGTTAGGATTATTGTTTTGAGGGAAGTGAGGAGCCATAAAACCTGAGATTATCTACTTAATGGAAAGATTGCAAGAAATCCTGGGTCCATCTGATACTGTGTGATACATTAGCACAGTGCAAAGGCTCTGGATTCAATTCCCAGTACCAGAAGCAGCCAGAATTCTTGCTTAAAGGACCCAGGAAAGAGAATTAGGAAGAACACACGTCAGGTTAGCATGTTACAAGATGGCTACAGGCATGGACCAGGTGAGCTGAGCAATTTGTTAGGAGGCTCTTGTCCTAATCCAGGAATGTGGAAATGAGATGTAGAGGTGGAAACGGAGGGCGAGGACAGATGTGGACACACGTTTGAGGCAACCAGACAGACTCACAGATTCCAGTGCAGTGTGGGAAGTGAAGGAAAGGATTATGGATGTCCACAAGGTTCTGACTCCACCTTTAGAATAAACAGATGATGGTGCCCTCCCTAGAGAACTGCATGACACTTTAGGGTTTGCGTAATATCTTTTTTGTTGTTGATTTAAAAATCCTTGCTTCTAAAATGCATCTTACTCCCTGATAAATCTGTAATCTTACTCCTTTGCATCTTACTCCTTTATAAATCTGTAAACCATAGTACAGAGGTTTTTTGTGTTTTTTGTTTGTTTGTTTGTTTTGAGATGGAGTCACTTACTATTTTAGTCAAGGCTGGCTTTGATCTCATGGTGATCCTCCAGCCTCAGACTCCTAAGTGCTGGGATTACAAGCGTGGGCCACTATGCCTGGCTACAGAGGTCTTTTTTTTTGAGCCAGGGTTTCATTATGCTGTCCAGGCTGGCACTGCATTCCCTTTGTAGTCTTGGTTGGTCTCGAACTTGCAACAATCCTCCTGCCTCAGCCTCCCAAGTGCTGGACCTACAGGTATGTACTACCACATCCAGCTAGAGGTCATCAATGACATTTCCAAACATAAAACCATGTTTCCTGGTGTTAAGTCTGGCATCTTGTCACCATATCCTAGCCACTTTCAGTGTAGAGGAAAAATTCCAGGAAATGTTTATGGTGAAATTTCCACTATTATTATTAATTTGTGTGATAAAACAGCATGCTTTCAATAAAAATTTTATATGGAAATAATTTCAAATTTGCAAAAAAAATTTAGAAATCAAAATACTCTAATTTCCCATATATACCCATGACTAATTTCACATATTCGCATTTTACCCCATGTGCTTTATAATTTGTGCTTGATATTTCCTTTTTCAGAAGTATTTGAGGGGCACAGATCATGAATCTTTATGCCTAGTGTATATTTCCTAAGAATGGTGTAATGTCTTGCAGAATTATAGCTCAGTTATGAACTTTATAAATTTTCATTGGTACAATATTTTATATAATTTACCTTCCATATTCCAAATGTGTTAGTCATGGCTAGTCACAGCACCTCAGTCAATAACTAGAAGCTGGTTCTAAACTACCCAGCAGAGACTGTCTAGATTTATTTCTCTTGTTAACTGATTTGACTATAAAAGACACACCAGACTATCTTAAATCCTATCTATGGTATCTATCTTCCATCTCTCTATCCATCCTATTTATATCTTCTCTTCTTTTTCCTCCCTTCTCCCCTTATCTCCCTTCCCTCCTCCTCCTCCTCCTTCCCCTTTCCCTTTCTCCATCTTTGGCAGGCTCGTGACCAACTCAAGAATATCGCAAAAATTCTCTAATTTAGAAAACAAGCACTAAGTTCTCCCACTATGCTGAGCATTTTCCATATAGCATCTGTTATGGAAAATAACCCCAAAACATAACATGATACAAACAGTGGACTCCTTGGTATGGACAACGTGTTTCATGGTATGAATTTTGGGCTTCATTTTACAGGTGGGAAATGTCATCCAGAAAGGTAAGAAGTCTGAAATGAAGGTGTTGTGAGGGCCTCTTCTCTCCAGAGTCCCTGGGGTAGGACCTTCCCTTGTCTGCTGCAACTTCTAACATGAGACGTCCCTAGACTTGTGGGCCTAGGGACACTTAATGTTACTTAGGCGCATTTCTGCTTTTGTCTTCACAAAGACCTCTGCTCTTCTATATCCATCTCATTTCTCCCTTCCTTTCTAAGGACACCTGCAATTGGGTTTAAATCCCATCCATATAATTCAGGATGATTTCATTTTAAGATTCTTAATTATATCTACAAAGACCCTTTTCCCAAATAAGGTCACATTCACAGGTTCCAGGCAGATACATCTTTTAAGGGACTACTATTCAACCCACTACATGGTGTGTTTTAGTGCATTTTTTCTACTATAGCAGAGTACCAGAGACTGGATGATTTATAGAGATTTATGTGGCTCATGGTTCCTGAGGCTGGAGTCCAAAAGTATCTGCTTTGTGGTACATTAACCCATGATGGAATGGTACCAGTGGTTTTTGTAACAACCCACTGTTATGATAACTAGCCCATTTCCACAATAATGACACTAGTCCATTCAAGATCCAATCACCTCTTACTAGGTCCCACCTCCCAACATTTTTCTATTGAGGATGAAGTTTCCAATGTATGAGCTTTAAGGGGCATGTCCAAATCATACCATAGATCATTCATTTATTGACTCACTCATCTGACAGTACCTCTTGAGCACTAAAATGGAAAGGAAACATGGGGAATGCAAAAGAGAATTGGACACAGATTCTGTCCTCAGAGGATGTTATAGCCTACTGGAAAACAGTGTGTGCCATGGGAGCTCAGATAGATGGGGATACACCAGCCTGGGTGGAAATCAGGCAGGACAGGGTGCTATTTCATGGCAGACCCGGACTCTAAACTGGGCATGAAAGCTCAATAGACTCTGGACTCTGAACCTGTGGCAATGAGACACTTGAGACAGAAACATTAGCAGCAGGAGTGCTCAGAAACAGGCAAAAATAGGTGTGTGCAGGCAGTGCTGAGAAATGCACCAGGTATGGAACACAGAGTTAATGAAAGGCTGCAATGAGGGTTAAGGTAGAGAAGTGGTCCTGGACAGAATTGGTGATTCTGAGTGGGTTTTAATGAATGAAGATTACATGAGTTTTTGAACGTGGGTGTGATATGATTAAAAACTTCCAAGTGCAAAGACAATATACAGGTGTATATAAGAATAAGATGGAGACTTTTTAAGCTGATTCAGAGGCTATCGATTTCATCATGTTAGCAGTAAACAAAGTTGAGTTGAGTATGTATTACAGGGGGAGACTGCAGCAGCAGAATCATAAGGATTTGATAAAGAGAAAAAAAACCAGGAAGGTTAGAAGGCTGAAAGGGAATGGTTACTAATGAGTCATTCTGAGTCTAGATGAAGGGGCTCAATGGTGTGGCCATGAGCAGAAATAGTAAATGCAAGAGAGACCATGATCATGAGGAAGTCCCTGAGCTCATTTGAGGCACATGGTCACGGAGTCTGCTTGCAAACTGGTAAACAGACTAGAGCCAGAGGCATGAACTTGGATTATCAGCCTTGGAGCGGTCCTTGAAGACAGAGGGGATGGAGAACACCAAGGGGGAAGAAAAGGGAAAGAAAGCATGTCCTTTGGGGGATCTGAGACAGAAGAAAAGGAACCAGCAGAGGAGTAAGGACAGGCGGAAGACAAAACACAGGGAAATGCCCTGAATTCAAAGGCAGCATGCTTCATATATGCGAAGCCGCACAAAGGTGATGAGAAATGAAGAAAAGGAAGCCGTGGAAGAGGCAGTGCCATCAGAGGTTTGAAGGGTGGAGGGCAGTAGAGAAAGCGCACATGGATCCTCCCTTTAAGAAATGGAGAGCAGAGAGAGGAACAGACCAACAGCAGTTAAGGGTTATCTGAATTTCTCACCCACTTGGGGATTTATTTTTATTTCCAAATTGCAAAACATCACTGGTAGCTACATCTTGGTGATCAACACAGCAGAGGAAATTCTTGGGGAGTCATGTAGGGAATTAAACTATTAAGGACACCTTTCTTCTTTTATTCTATTTTGACACATTCATATCTTTATCACAGTCACAACATTTTAACAAAATATACAAACAGCACAAATGCTTTAAAATGTATAGTTAGAACTCTAATTAGCCAAATTTGGCTACTGCAAATAGCATGCAGGGTCACTTATTTTGAACGATGCCTAAAGAGAGACTTGTCATCAAATCACCATAATGGATGATAGGGGATTGGTTTTCTTTTCTCTTAGAAGGATTATGCACATCATTTCTTTTCTTGTCAGGATGTGAGGATAGTGATGAATAACTGCACTGCTATTGAAATCAACTGAGAACAGATGGACAGACAGGTTTTATTAGCAGGAACAAACTGATCTTTGTTGGTCTCTGAACTCAGTTTCTATGTTGACAAGATAACCACCATGGGTGTTCTAGTTGACCTTCCCTATCTGTGACATGAAGCTCTTTCCATTTCATGGCCAACCGGAACGCACTGATTTGTAAATCTCCAGTTGCAAGCTACGTTTATTGTGAAGAATCCCGTAAGAACTTATGCAGGGCTTCCTTGCAGGCCACATCCACAGATATACGCAGAATCAAATGAGTTAGTGATTATTTTTCTATGGCTGAGTCGGATCCAGGCAATGGGCTGTGTCAGACTTGAGAAGTTTGTTCTCTTTGCTCCTTGGCTTACCACGTTTTTATTGATCAGCAGTTGGTGCCCAAGGGAAGATCTATAATTTAGAGAAGTATTAAGTTTTAAATCCGTCACAGTGTGGAGAACCATTTTTCAAGTTAATAATTAGGGTTAGTAATGACCTAACTTCAAGGGCGGTTGGGAAAGATCAGGCGATGAGCTAGAGGCGTTGTCCTTAGTGAAGTAGAGTTGGTTTTCGCTACAGATAAAAAGTCACTTGAGGAGCTAAAAGGTCTCAGCCTTTACTGTCGTGTTTCTTTTCTTTCCCAGCTTGAAAAAGTGACCCAAGAAGTGTTACTTGAACCAGTTCCCAGATGATGCAAATTTCTTCAAGTTTCTGGAGAGGTGGGGTTCAGGAGATGAGCCCCTCCATCCCTGGGTTCACAAAAGAAAAGTTCCTAAACATGTTCTGGTCCATGCTGTTGATCAGTGCTCCATCAGCAAACGACAGTCGGGGTTTCTCATTCAGGAATTCCTTGTCGAAATTGCTACAGTCGTATGGCGATTTCTTGGACAGAGTTTAAGGGGAAGAAAAAGAGAAGAAAATGAGCCATTAAATCCATTATTTTAACATCAGTTACTTTATCTATGATCTGTGCATGACAAAGCTGGCATTTGCAGATTAAACAAAACTGAAATGATACTTAGATTGTAAGTTATGGCTTGCATTGAACAGCTCTATGGTCCCTTTATCAGTTTCTTACTGGCATGATTAAACTCACACACAGGAACTCCACTGCATACTTTCATTAGGATCTAATGCTCTGAGTTTCATGAACAATTGGCAACTTTAGAAAAAGTGGAGAGCCCTAATTTGGTCTCTTTCCTTTTATTCTTACAGGACAAAAGTGGGGGTAGGGAGAAAGGGGCGGGAGAAAAAGAAGGTGCACAGGTGGTTATGTGTTCACAGTCTTTTATCAGCATCGTTGGTACTGATGGTTCTTCTACCTATGTTTTTATTATTATTCCTCATGGATTATCTTCCATAGAAAATATAGAATGGAAGAAACTCCTTTCAGAGCACTGGGCCATTGATTATCATGATCAAGATAGAGAGATAGGGAGAGAAAGAGGGGTGGGGTGAGGAGAAGGAGAGGCAGAGTAAAAAAAAAACCCATCTATTCATAAATACTCTTTCATGTGATGCTCATATTTAAGCTCTGGAAGATGAGACTAGCCATTATGAAAAGAAAGTCACATAAGCACAAGGTGAAGCCTCCCCATCCGAGGAGGGCCGGTGGGCTGGTGAGGTTGGTGGTCAGTAACTCTTCTGTATAGATAGATGCTCAGATCAGAGGAGAGGGAAATTTCCTTCTCTTGGCAGAACTGGTAATTGTCCTTTAGGGTAAGCCTACATCAAAGTTCTGATTTTTGTGTGGAAAATATTGAGTGAATTTTAATCTGCAATGGAAGGACAGGCATGAACCAAGCTAAAATATGGCAAAAATTTGTTTTAGGACAAACAAAAGATTAAACATATATTAGGTATGATATTGTCACACCTAGTCAGAGTGCCAAAGGCCAATCTGTTGAACATCTCCAGTGCTTGGGGCAGATGCTGAGAACAACTATTCTTATCCTGGGAACAAGGCACATTTGCATTTTTCAGTCATGCACTGAACAACCAACAAGTGTGGTTGCTCTGTAGAGTGCAACTTTTATTGTGATACCTACGAGCCCCATACGCTTTTCAGCAAAATAATGGTAGAGACATTCTTAGCCAGGTAATTATTATCATATTTCCAGAAACCACCAGGAAATGTTAAAGATAGGAAATCTACCACTTTGGTTTATTGAAAAAAAAAAAAAACCTTTAAGATAGTGACATTGGAAACATAAAATTTACTCTTTAACTATTTTAAGTGTACAGTTCAGTGGAATTAAGTAAATTCCCATGCAAGCATTGCCACCACCCATCTCCAGAACTTTCTTCATCTTAATTTGTAATTTTGTCTTCACTTTCCAGTGGCCCATTCTTTGCCTGAACCAGGCCTTTCTGCTCTTTCTACTGTGGGTTGGGGATTTGTGCTAGCATATATGCACAATGTACAATGGGAATTTACAGATCTATCTTTTTCTAAACACTGGTTTCCTTTTTCTCCCTTAAAGTGAGGGACACCTACTAGGGAATATAATTGTGTGCACATATTACTGATGGTAAGTAAATTTGAACACATATGGGAAAAATGGCCCTGAATTCTTTACATAGGATGGAGAATTTATGGACAAATTTGTGTCACCCAGACTATGGCCATTAAGTATGTGTGTGTGTGTCATGTGCAAAATCCTCTGGCCTGACAGTCACCTACTGCTCACAAATACATATCCACCCTCAGTATATCCAGCTGTCCATTCTTCACGCAAGGGCGTTTGACCATAGAAGTTAAATTTTGCAAACCAAAAGAGTAAGCCTTTCTTTCCTCCACCAGCCAAATGGTTGGTGTGGAAGCAGCACATCCTTGCCTGATGGTGGGATGGGAGGAGGGGTCGGAGAGGGGTAGGGGATAAGGGAAGGGACTGCTAGTACCTGATCAAGCCCCAGCCTGTGAGTTAGGCAAGAGCTGAAAGCAAACTGCCCCGAGGGTGACCCTTACCACTTTTGGCTTGAAAGGTGGGTCAATCTCCTTTCTCTCAAGTTCATCCCAGTTGATCTCCTGAAACAAAGGATGTTGGCGGATGTCTCCTCTCACTCCCAGCCTCTTTTCAGGTTCTCTCACAAACAGCTGAAAAGAAGCAGAGACGGAACAGCTTATTTCTCTGCCCATATAGTTGGCATCAGGTGGGCATCGTATTTCTGGTATGGCCACTTGCTCTTCTAAACTTCGTTTCCCACTTGCTTTTCTGAAGATGGACTAAGTCAAACTGGCCCTGACATGCTCTGCTAGTGCACTTTTCTGAACATTCAGAACTCTAGGCTTTGACTACCTCATTCCCTGCCCTAGACATGTTATATTTTAAGTAGACGCAGCATGAACTCAAGTGTTATGTATGGGATCTTCAAGGTTGTTAGAACACTGAATCAGTTTTGTCACCAGTACAGTGAGCTCAGTACCCTTCTCATAGGGCTAGTCTGAGGATTAAATAAATTAGCAACACACACACACGCACACACACACGCACACGCACACGCACATGCACATGTAGAGTATGAGGTATGACTGAAAAACATGGCAAATATTAAAATCTAAAAAAAATTACAGTAAAAGACACAGTGGCATTAACCTCTCTTACAATGCCCCCCCTCACTGAGAACCCACAGGTCCCCACACTCTTGTCGCTTTCTGAAGCAGCTCCGGAAGTCTCTTCCATGAGTGTCTTCTGTTGCACTGTTGTAGCAGCCTTGATGACCTGAATTGATTCAAAATGTTTACCTTTCCTGGTCATTGACTTTCAGGAAAAGTTAGAACTCACAAGGTGCCAGATCTGATGAATGAGGTGCTTGAGCAGCTACTGTAAAATTTTCATGAGCCTGACACAGCCCTTGGCAGCAATGCTCACTGTATTTTTAAATCATACCATTAGGGTTTAGATCCAGCACAATTCCTTACACTCTGGTGACATTGCTCAGAGAAAGGCAGGCTGTGGAAGGTGGCTGGGATGCAGGGCACTACGGCTGCCTAGCTGATAGGAAGTGGGGTGGGGCTGGAGCAGGCCATTGAGGGATGTATCTTTTTCCTGCCTCTTCCCTTCTTTCTCTGCTTCCTGGCCTCCATGATGTGAGCCATTCTCCTCTTCCCAAGCCCTTCTACCGTGCCATTTCTAGGTTCAAGCCTGCCAAACATGGACTCAGACTTTTGAAATGTGGGCCAAGATAAACCTCTCTTCCCTTAAATTGTATCAGGCATCGAATAAGGAAAAAATGACTAAGACAGACACACATAGCGTCCCATCACGTAGACAGGCACACACACATGCATAAGAATGTGTGTATACAGACACAGGCACATACATTCCAGGGTGCACCACCAATGGTCTAAGACCTCTCTCACAGCTCCATCTCTTAAAGGTCCCTCCACCTCCCAACAGGCCAAGCTGAAGACTAAACCTTTAGCACAGGAGATTTTCAGGGACATTTCTGATTCAGACTACAGCAGTCCTCATCCGGACAGTGAGAGCTTAGTCCAAGTGATCTCTAGGGCCCAGAATTCTAAGTCCATGGGTCCCCAGGCTGGCATGCAAGGATCTTTATAATGTGACACTAAGACATGCACCCTCTCCTGTCTGAAAAATTCTCATTGAATATAACACCTGCCTTTTGAAATTTCATAATGATTTTTCCATCTTGAAGGAGGTGTCTCTCCTCAGATTTTGTCAACTAACCCTAACCCTCATTTGTAAATCCTGCCCCGTCTTTCAGGACTCCTCTCCTATTTTCCCTTCATTGATTACCCTCATTGACAGTGAGCTCTTTCTCCTCTTCAAGTTACAGTCATGGTCAAATGACTGGACATAAACAATTTATCCCAACCATTGTTCTCTGAGAGTTCGGTATTGTACCAGATGCCTCAATGACATCATCTTGATTTTTATTTATTTATTTTGATGGCATTTATTTATTCATTTATTCTATTGTACCTTGTGGAATGATTACATCAAGCTGGTTAACGTACTCATCACCTCACATACTTATCATTTTTGTGTAATGAAAACATTTAAAATCTCTCTCTGCAAATCTCACTTATATAGTACTAACTATAGTCTATGCTGTGTGATAGATCTTCAGAATGTATTCCTCCTGTTTAATTAAAACCTTCTGTCCTTATCCTAATTTTAAAAACAAGTTTATTTCCCTTCATTCTTCATTTCTTCTTTACTTTTCACTTCCTTCCCTCACCTTTTCCCTCCTCCTTGTTCCCAGCCCCATTTGAACATTTTCTTCCTATTTCACACTATGTATTATACACTTTAGTCTTTATTTACACTTTCAGTTTCTCACACCCAAGAAACAATGCACTATTTACACATGGGGGTCCAATTTATTTCACTTAAGAGTTCAGACTCATGGTGCATCCGTTTTCCTAGAAATGTCTTGAGCATATCCTTCCTTATGGCAGAGTAGTACTCCACTGTATAAAAAGCCACATTTCTTTATTCATTCACCAGCTGATGGGCATTTGCATTGCAGAAAGCAGGTACCATATTGTTATCTTGACTGACAGTTAAGGAAACCGAGGCTCACAGTAGCAGTTACTTACTGAGATCATAAATCCAGCCAGCAGCGGAGCCTCAGTGGTCCACAGCTTCCTCCCCTCTCTGGTGGGGCCGTCTCTCTGCCATGCTCCATAGAATATCTTTCACTGCAGAAATTTATATCTTGGGGTTTTTTCCTGAATCTGTCTGTTTCACTGGATGGTAAGCTTTGGAGGACAGACACCCTTTCTACTTCTGTTTCTTACAGAGTCTAGCAGTGTGCCATGCCCAAAGTAGACATTCAGTAAATGGCTGAATAAGTGAATATTCTTTCTTTCTACTTTACCTATAGGTCATGCATCTTTCATCTTATCTTCTGTTAACCTCTAGTTTTCAGCACACAAAAAAGGCACCAAATTCACAGCTAAATGTATTTTTTTCCCTATAGATTCAAAAACCAAGCTGAAGGCCAGGGATTTAGCTCAGTGGCATAAGTACCTGCCTGGTAAGTGTGAGGTCGTGAGTTCAATCCCCAGTACAAAAACAAAAAAACCAAGCTGAGCATGATGGCATACACCCGTATTCCCAGCAAGTAGGCTGAGAGAGTAGGATAGCTACAAATTTGAGGTCAACCAAGGCTACATAGTGATCAGCCTAAACTGCATGGTGGACCATTCCTCAAAACAAACAAAGCAAACAAAACCAATGAGTATCTAGATGGAAAATCAGACTGATTGTTTAAGAGCAGAGAGAAGTCACTTGCTCCATGTCTTTCTCATAGAAATGATTACAATTAGTTATTGACCTCTGCTTTAAAGGAAACAAGGAAATAAGATTAGATAGAGGATCTAAACTCAGCTGTTGCCCTTCTTAGGTATCTTCCTAAAAGAGTTAAAAGTGATATAGTATATTGCATACCTATGTTTATAGCAACATAAATTATAATAGCTAAATCTTGGAAACAGCCCACATGCCCATCAACAGATGAACAGATAAAGAAAAAATGGTATTTGTACATAATGGAGTACTACTCTGCCCTAAAGAAGGCTAACCTTGACTTATGTGTAGGTAAATGGATGCACTTTGAGATTACAATTTTAAGTGAAATAAATAAGACACAGAAATTTAATATTGCATTGTTTCTCTTCTGTGAGAAAGCCAAAGGGTAAATAACGAGCAAAACAGAGGATAGTTATTGGGAAGTACAAAGAAAATGTTCAAATAGGAAGGAGAACAAGCGAGGGGGAGGGGAGAGGGAAAGAAGGGAAGAGGGATTTAAAAAAGGATGGAAAGGAAAAAATGGGAATGAAACTTTTGTAAATAGAGAGGGTAAAGAGGGTTAAAGGGAGGGAAGGGAAATAAAAACAGAGGAATTAAGATGTATTGTATACTGGCACAAATTCTCTAAGATGAATGGAATAATTATGTGTGGCAAATATGTACCAATAAAAAATAAGCAGAAAATACAGCTTACGTGCCTCCAAAATGGGCCCCAAACTAGCTGATGTTATAAAGAAATGTTTCAGGGCATTAAGTTAAAATTAACTACCCCAGGCTAAGTGTTCACCGTGCTAGGTTTTACATTAGATCTTTTTTCAGATACTGTGGTATTTTTACCAAGAAAATCATAACAGAATGCCTCCTGAACTTGGTGTACATACCTCTGAGATTTAAAAAATATTTTAAAAAGTGAAATGAGTAATAAGAAGATAATGTGATACCCAGCTTCAAAGTTCAATATTTTGTCTAGTTTGACCCACAGTGGTTAACTATTATCCTTTCTGTTCTGAAGCAAAGTGCCTGCCCATGTTCCTGAGGGTGACAGGTCCTGCGAAGGCCAGAACTATGGATTCATGGCAGGAAAGGTACAACTAGGAGATCAAGTTGATGAATGCAGATTTATTTTTCTCCCTAAAAGCCAGCAGGAGGACTGTTGACATTTGCAGGAAGCAGAATGCTCCGACATAAATGGCCAGGATGTAGCTGGAGTTCGTTTACTTGACGATGGGCCAGAGAGCAGTTCCAAACTACAGAGGATGACCGCGAGCCGCTGTGACAGGTTCTCCCTGAAACCTGCTCTTCCTTCTTGAGTCCTTCTCAGATACATCCTTCTGTTAGAAGGGAGGCAGGTTACTTTTCAAGATCATTAGTTTTTCATCACTTTCAAACAAATGGACAGGACATCCTGGCTGACTAAGTGGGGGAGGAAAACAGTGTTTCTTGGGCATCAATCAGCTGGACAGCAGCACCCCAGCTGTACTTCTCCGTGGAAGGCAGCCTCTCTTGATGTGCGACTGTGGGCTGTGCTACATACGCCCATGTCTCCAAGGAGTAAGAGGACACAGTCTGGATGCGGGAACAGATGCTGTGAAGTTGTGCCTTGCTTAGCTTTTCCAAAGCACCCATGACTTCTGCATTTCACTACATCACATGAAGTCTCTGGAGGAAATTTTTGAGAAATGGTCTTATCTTTGATTTTTTGCAGACGAGGAACCTAAAGATGTGTGAAGGGTTAGTCAAGCTGATGAAGCCACTGAAGAGTGGAAACCAGTCTTGTCGGTGGCAAACTGCATAGCAGAAACTAATTTTGATCAGCTTCATCACTGGAATATGTGCAGGTCAAGAGAACTACTAAGCTCGACTCTTCCAAGTAGCTTTAAAGCACTTTCCCCTGCTAGTGCTTCTTTGTTCTTTATCCTTAATTATTTTGGTTTCTGCTCTCCTCAACCAAATTTATATCCTACTTTTGTTGCAAGTCTATCATCCGTCACAGATATTTTGCAAATATCTTCTTTTTGTATTTGCATGGCAGTGAACTTTACATTTAATTTTGTTCTTCAGCTTTTCTTTCTGAAATAACAGGTCTACAGGACCCTGAGAAGACACTACAGAGATGTCTTGTGTGCCCTTCACGGAGTCTGTCCTAGTGGTTACATCTCAACAAAATATCAGAACCAGGAACTGGGACTGTACATGAAGGGCAGTTTGTCACATGTGTGGAAAGATACAAACACTTCCATCAACACAAACACCTTCCTCTTGCTGCCCTTCGTAGTCCTATCCCTTCCTCAGTGCCAACTCCCCGACTCCCTGGCCACCACCAGCCTGATTCTCATCTCTGCAATGCTGCCGTTCAGTTATGTCATATCAAAGGATTCAGAGTACATGGGCTTGTGAAATTGGTTCTTTACTCTGGAGATCCATCCAAGTGGTTTGGAGTATCAATGTTTTGTCCCTTGTAATTGTTGATTTGGTTTCTGTGCATATAAATATTCATCTTTTCACCCCAACTGGAAGTAATCCTTTCCTCCTACTCAGCTTTGTGATTCTTCTTTGAGACTATCACTTTGCAGCTTCCTTCCATGGCGACTTTTGGTGAGCTCTGCTTAGCCCGTGCCCCTGCCCCTGCTTCATCATCTATGTTTTCCTCCACTCTGTGCTTGAGACTGAGAGGCTCAGTCAGAAGCCTGGTCTTTCCGGGGTATTGGCTGGAATTGGGGTCCATATCTAGACCCAGGGCTTCTGTTCTGGGACTCGTCTGAAGACAACTTCTGAGTGTAAAAGTGTGCTCAGCTCCCTGAAAGTGCCCTCGACCCTAACCTCATTCATTTTTCAATGGTTTTACTTGGCCCGAGTTTCTCATGCTATGGACAGAGTTGAACCCTCTCAAAATTCACACGTGGAAGCCTTAACCTCCACTATGATTACATATGGAGACTACAGAAAATTAACTAATATTAAATGAGGTCACATGGGTGGAGCCCTGATCCAATAGGGTTAATTTCTTTTGAAGAAGAGCAATTGGAGTGTTTTCTCTGTCTGTCTGCATGTCTGTCAGTGTCTCTTACCATATTCTTACATGGTAACATAAACACACATACACAAATGTGAACATCTCTAAGCAATGAAGACAACCAGAAGGGATCCTGTTTGAATTTGGTCTTGGACAGTGAACTGTGACCTGCTGAAGTGTTAGAAATAAACATCTGTTATTCCAGTTGCTCAGCCTGTGGCCTCCTGTTAGAGCAGCCGGAGCCTACATGCATGCATCACAGTGAACCCTTCACAGAACCAAGTGTAAGGTCAATGTATCAGTGGTGATAACGATTGGACTTGCCTTTGCATAAAATAAAACCTTATAATCAGGACTAACTAGCTTATTTGTACTGTTGTCATCTTTTTTATTGGTTAATTTTGAAATTAGCTTTCATTTTACATGTATTTTGTTCAATCATTAAAAGAGAATTTAATTGGACATTCAGGGAGTTTCTTAGTTTATTGCTTGCCTGGCTTGTAGGAAGTGAAAGCCAAATGCAACAGGCCCAGATTTTTAAAAACCCACTTCCATTACCCTTGTGCTGGGCATACTGTGAAGGTTTTTTCAACACCTCTCAGATTCAAGGCTTTGATTCCCAGGGACAGCTCTGGAGTTACCTCAACATTTCTAATGCCTCAGACAAGCTGTCACTTGCGTTGGAGAGGGATGAGTAATACCCTTTAAATTTAACTTCAAGTAGTTTTTCAAGAGGCAAAAAAAGACTAGTGAAAAAAGACAGGCCTGGAAATATTTTTCAAAGTTTTGATTTAAAACCCACTGATATCTGATGTTGAAAAATCTTATTCTCATTTTTTTAATATAGTGAAAGCAAGGCTAAACAATATCTCCCTAAATGATAATTTTCAACCAGCACACATATGAGGTTTAGAAGTCAAAACAATGTTTTTCCCAAAACACTGATATTCTTGGTCTGCTTCTTGGTGCATCTGCAGTTTGGCTGGGCTCTTGGTCCTACAGGTGGGTTTCACTGATCCAAATATTTTCTGAGACAGTGCAGTAAATGTGAGGATTTAGTATTCTTATAACTATTCAGCATGCTGTGTTGGTGTAATTTATATTCACCTCACAACCTGTTATACTCTTACCACATAGATGGTATTCTATATCCTTAGAAAAGGAAAATCAGAGTTCTACTGAAAGTGCTAATTCTTAATGATGGTTCTCAGGTGTTCTCAGGCTACACCTGTGTGCCTTGGGAGCTCTTAGCTCATAGCACGGGATTCTCAGAGCCTTGTCTCTATGGACAGCACTGCTCATGGATTTTTAATATAGCCTTGACTTTCATGCAGTTTTTGTGTTGATGGTAAATTCTTGGCATTGCTGCTAAGATGGTGATAATTTCCCTCTCACAGTTTGTCATGGTGAGGAATGCATCAGTATTTCCAAGGCAAAACAGGTAGGCATGCAGGGCAGAGCTTGTCTGCATGCATTTTAAGTGGTATATAAGACAATATGCTGGGCAGACAATAAACTGGGATGAAAGTGCTACCTAGGTGGCAATGCTAGGGAGTGGGATGAACAGCTTTGTACCTCAAAGGATTCAGCCAAAAATGTCCTCACGTGTAAGTATGTCCTAAGAACCTACAGAGTGCTTCACAGAAGTCTCAGCTTTAACGTCTGCCAGGTTCAAAGAGTGTGAAGTGATCCAGCCCCATAAGAACTCTTCTTTCTCCTTATCCTTTTTTTAGCCTTTCCTGGCTTCAACCTGGTACAGTGTTAAGCATATTCGAGAGTTAGGATGAAAAGAAGGACACGTTCAACTGAAACGTGACTACAGTTGCTTCTCCAAAGGTGAGGAGCTGCTCAGACAAGAAGAAAGAGAGCAGGACGCATAGCTTTCATATTAAGATCTATAGGGCAGCTTATATCTTGGACTAGGTTATTTAATTTCTCAACTGAGGCAGTGTTTTTATGACGTAAGAGGGATGATAGATTTATTTTGCATTCAAGAATGAGCTGAAAAACCATGAGTCTTGTCTAATGCTTCAACCAGGGCAGGGAAATGGTGAACTGGAGTGAATATTTTTTTATATAGGAATCAAAAGAATGAGTTTTAAGCTACGAACTATTACTGATCAATGGTTCACCTGCATCTCCATGTGTAATGACATTTTAGAGCCATGGAACTAATTGGAGTAAAGAAGGGTGTATCTTAAACTCATTTTGATACCCAGGATTCTATACCTCAGTTATTACACCGAATGTGTATCCCATTTAAATCCAGTTCATTGCAAAAAATGTGTGTCCTATCATGCATAAGTCAGAGTCTTGAAACTAATGGATATATTAAACAGAAAAACCTATGCTAATCATATAAAAATCTTGACTTCATTTCTTACCTTCACTAGAAGATCCTTGGCTTCCTTCTCTAGCCATCGTGGGTAAAAGGGATTGTCCATGCGGATAGAGTGGAAAAGTTCTTCTTCATCTTGCCCGTGGAAAGGTGATTGGCCGATCAACATTTCATAGAGGAGAACACCAAAGGACCACCAGTCAACGGAATGGTTATACTTCTGACCGAGCAAGATCTGTGCAACCAAAAGGGAAAGACATAATTAACAGATGAAGATCATGACCATGATGCTCTGCCTTCTCAAGGGCATTCTGTAAATCATGCGTACTGACGGTAATACATGGTTTCAACAAGACCACACTGGAAACTCTCTTTTGACACACTGATGAATGAATCGAAATGACTTCACAGTGCCAAAATTTCTGAGTTTGAGTAAACACTTTAGAGTTTCAGTTTCTCCTTTGCTTCTGGTTTTAAGAGAAACAAACCATGCCCTTACCTTTCGTTTTCCCATCTCTAATGTGAGGACTTGGGTGGCAAATATTGGGCCTAATGGAGTTTGTATGTGAATTATGTTTTTCTGTGCCTCTGATATGAGCATCTAAACCAAACCAGGCTTCTGCTGTCCTGAATCTTTGCATAAAATCTCTGAAAGAAGTCAGCCTCCAAAGATACTATCGACCAAGTCTTACCTTTAAAGCTGAGCTAGTCACAGCTATTGAGTTTAGGAGTCAAGCTTCTTGTTGCAATTGTTTAGAAATCTAGAAATCAAAGATTTATTTAAGCTACATGTAGCTACCAAGCAGGTTCTAGGGAGAACTGGTCTGCCTTCTCTGCTAGGGAATATCTGAAGTCTGAAATCCTGACTTTCTACAAAATGTCGATCCTTTCACCAATTTACATTTTTGGAAATAAAAGGGGTTTTGCGTGTTGAGTTTCAGCAGTTTCTTTGTTTACTGTGGGAAGGTAGAGTGTGCACAAGCCTCACAAAACAATTTTAGCTCAAATGTGCTGTTTGAGGGCGTGTTCGTGCATGAGTCCCAAGACTTACCACAAGAGGGAGCCAAAGAAACCCCTCCGAGCAAGACATCTTTGTAAATAGCTTAGTTCTAGCAGAACAAATGAAAAGAAATTTGGAGGACAGGAGACAGCTGTGGTAGAAATTAAGCCTTCGAGGCTAGAGGATGCTCATAAAAATCTCATTCTAACATTAGGAGGAAAAATCAGAGTGGAAATTCATACACAGAACAGAATTCCATCGGAAGGAGCACTGATACATCAGAGGCGTTTTCAGATATTGTGCCTTTATTTAGAAAAATTCTCTGAACTGGTATTATTATCCCTGGGGAGGATGACTGGGTTCCGGGACATATGTTTCTTACTTAATAGGTGTTAGTGAGGGTGTTGAAAGCTATATTCTGAATTCCAGTCTTTGGAGATTTTGCTGTATGATGCTCCTTTTATTTTATAAAGTTATTTCCTGGCTTCTGCTGCTCTCTGGTGTGCTCATGCTCAGTACTGGTAAAGACAGAGTGAGGTGTCCCAGGGTAGACTTAGAAAGGCAGTCTTCTCCAGATTACCATGCTGTCCTCTTTTGTCTCCGTCCAAAGCAGAGCTCTAAACTGGAGAAACCCAGAAAAGTACTGACAGTGGCATCACCACGGAGTTCCTCCTTTTCCCTTACTGTGACCTATACCTGCAGCTCCTGAGGTCTGTGGAGTGGGCGTTTTAAGGTCTGCAGTCTTGCACTGATCTGCACTGGCACGTACTGGGGCAAGTGGTGCTCTAACACTAGGTGACCAGTCACCAGGACCTATATTGATTTGGTTTCCGTGTGACCCAGACTTTTCCAAGAACTGTGTTTAGGTACTGAAATCCCATATGGATTAATGGTGCTGCTAGTCTGCAGTAGAAAGTTGAATGTTTCCCCGTGTAACTGTGTCCTTATGGCTTGTCAAAATAAGGTGAGCCGCAAACCATGTGTTTTAGACCCTCCTCACTCCTGTAGTGGGACACAGGGGGAACAGTGGATCTTTTGGAGAGGAGTGTTACATCTCAGGAGACTCAGGCATGGGATGCACAGTCTATTTTTCAGGAACTGTTTCTGATGGTACTCTGTGACTTGTTACTCGGAACCTTGAGAGGACACAGGGGGGTCACTCTTGGTCTCTAGTTTACTGGATAACTGGGGACACACATGCTATGGCTGCCCTAGGGAGGAAGAGACATGGAGATCTTCAGAGGGAAGATGATGGGAGGTGAGGGTGACCGTAGGCCAAGGCATAGGACATGTCAGGGCAGACAGCATAGAATGGCCCAGTCAGGGGAGGTACACACGTCAAAATGATTGGATCTATCATTAGGAACCCATTGTCTGGATTTTGCTTTACATGCAGTTGCTAATGAATGCTTCCTAAAGACTACAAACACTGGAGTGACAGGTTTGCATTTTATACCGGCAAATCCAAAAATTTGGTAGATGAATGCAAGGAGAGGTGACCATGTTATTCTACAAGACATAGGAAGCAAATTAGAACTATATTTATATCCATTTAAAAAATCTAAAATGAAAAAAATGTACTCTTCAGCCATAGGTGCTGTGCAAACAACACCAATGCCATCACCTAGAAATGTAAGCAGCAAGTGAGGTACCCTGAGGGAAGGACGAGAAACCCCATCTCAGAGCAGCTTGGCGGTTACCTGCATAGTTATTTTCATGAAACGGAAGGTGTGTGGCCATGCTGGGTGGTGTGTTAACTAAACAAATTTCTATGTTATGAGAAATACTTAAACAGTTATCTGCAACGTGGTTTGGATTGAAGATAATATGGCAATATTAATGCAAATGTAACATCTGAATTAAAGATAATGCTGAAACAAATAATGCAAACATAAGCAAAGCCTGAGAAAATGGTATCACTGATATCTCTCTCCTTGTACAAGCTCTTTGCTAGTCATGAGTAAGGAAACTAAAAACAGTGACGACCTCAATAGTTAAGTTTTAACCAACAGGAGGTTGACTTAAAATAACTGAGCATGTCAAAAACATTGTTTTGAAATATATACTAAAGTCATAATTATCAGTGATGGCCTTGCCTTAATTTTACATATTATAGTTTTTTTTTAATGTTATACCTCTGTGAAGTACCTTTTCTAGCTATGATAGCCATGAGAACCAAAAATTGAGATAAATACATTAGGATTTTAAGATTTTTTTAAAAAAAGTTGTTGAATCTCATTATTCTAATAGAGAACAAGTGTTTTTGTACTACTAATAGTGGGGGTGCTTGTTTAATGAGGGAACATGATTGAAAGTTTGAAATGTGTAAGCAGTTGTGTGGTGATGAGTTGGGGTGGAGGGACGTCATGTGAAAGGTCTTAGACGAGGTTAGCTGCAGGAAGCATGGAAAGAACTGGAGACTCTTTGAGTAGTGAACCAAAGGGATTCTTTTTGATAAAAAGATTAAAGAGAGAACCTTGATTTGGTCACAAGATTGAAGGAGCGAATAGACCTGAGAGGCTCAATTGTAGGAAGTCTTAGTGCTTGGTTGGACTTGGGGAGTAAGGAGAAAACATGGATAAAATCATAGTTTTCTATGCGAATGACCGGATATGTGACACATGATTAATTAAGATAGGTTAAAAATATAGAAGGTGGCGAGATGAATTCAACAGAGACAGTGAGTCTGGGACCTGTTAACTGGAAGGCTTCTGACATTTCCTGGGAGATCTCAAGTAGGAACACAGACCTACGGTTCTGGGCCAAGACGTCTGGGTTGGCCATTTGGATTCTGGAACTAAAACCATTGTCATAAACAGATCCCCTTGAAAAAACCCAGTAAGAAGAGCAGAGGGCCAAGCATGGATGCACGTGGAGACAAGCATGCTTGAAAATGAGAAAAAGAGGAATTACAGAGAGAAAAGGGTATCTCTCCATGTAAATCTGGAAGAGTTAGAAGAAAACAGAATCAAGAAGGCTTGCCAAGGAAAAGGTGTGGCACAAAATGTTTGCTGATGGGTATGAATAAGAGCAAGAGAAGCATACTAAGTTCTCTTAGAGTAGAAAGGAAGGAAACTGAGGCAGCTCCGATGAGCTTGAGAAGATGACAAAGGAGACCTCTGCTGGTAATGACAGTGATATGGCCTGAGTCGAGTGAATGCAGTTGAGAATTATCCCTAAGGAAACCAAGTGCTGAACTGAATCTCTGCTCTGAGATCTCCTCCACTCGTACCTTAATTAGCTTTGGCTTCCCTTCAGACGAAATAGTTTTCTGTATTGATATCTGTATTTGTGCCAACCTGAAGGAGGCACAAATTTCTCATACTGGAAAGTTATTAAATAATGAGCAAAGCTCTGTGAGCTCAACAATTCCTTGACAGTAAGAGTCAGAATTTCTTTTGGGACAGAAGTCAACCTTGCCTTTAAACAAGGTTAAATTAAAATTGAATACCCACCATCACAGGGCAAAAATCACAGTTCTTAGACTCCAAATGCCACAGTTACTTGTGTGGGGACAGGGCTTTGCTGCTTGATTTTTTTTTAAACCTGGGACTCAGAGGCCTATCACTGCCTTCCTCAGACAACTGTCACATACTCACATGCTTATTCATTCAGCCATCCATCCATTCTTTCACAAGCTATTTAGTGCCAATCTCTGCCCTTGTTCTTTATATATAAAGGGAAGATCACCTGCATCTACCTGTGCAAGAAAATGACACAGAATCATATCTATTTTGAGCCAGTGTCAGAATCCTGGTTTTGATACTGTACCATAGCAATGCAGCATGAAACCCCTGGGCATGAAACTCAAGGGGAACCTGAGTGAAGGGACATATGGGATTCATTTCTGTGCTAATTTTGTAACTTCTAGTGAATCTACAATCACTTTGAAATAAAAGTTTAAAAAGATGAGTAAGAAGCAGGACCCAATTTAGAGCAAATATTTAGTTGTGTAGTGAGATTGAAAGATGAAAAGGTGGGGCTGGGGATTTAGCTCAGTGGCATAAGCATCTGCCTGTCAAGCAGGCAGTCGTGAGTTCCATCCCTGGTACCGGTAAAAAGGAAAAAGACAAAAAAAAAAAAAAAAAAAAAAAAAAAAAAAAAAAAAAGATGAAAAGGTAAGCAGAACAAGTAACTACAAGGTAAGGCCTGAACTAATCCAGTCTAATCCATTCCAGTATAACCCAATCTAATCTGGAGTGGAAGGCTATGGAAGTTTCTGGAAAAATAGGGTTTAGTTGGATGGCTAGATGACTTCTGAACAAACGCCATTCCTCAGGGTGCTGAGATGGTAATGATTATTATTGCTGTTTACTATTATTATAATCCCGGGTGTTCTGAGGTTTAACTTTCAGCAGCTCTCTTATTTAATGTTTGCATTTACAATTGTGGCATAAAAGAGGAAATGGGGTCAGAGAGTCTCTGGCAAGCACTCAGCGCTCACTAACACAGAGGCGTGGAAATCACCAGGCTGGTCTTCCACCCTATGAGGAAACTCCCTTAGCTGAACACTTGTTTCCACTTTGTTCTTCATCAGTTGCTCCTTCTGGTTGGTCTGAGCATCATGAGCATATTTTAAGCCTGCAGTGAGTTAGAGTCACAGTTGAAAGAGAGTACTGGACTCTTCAAGCCCCTGGGAGGTGCTGGCATTAGTTAGACTAGCATGCTCCATAAGATAAGCAACAACCGTATTTGCAGCCACTTTTAGCAAATGTTTCAAAAAAAAAAAACTCACAAAATTTGAACCCAAATACTGAAAACCATCTGATTCGACAGGGACAAAAAAGAGTTTGGCCCAGAAATGCTGAGCTGGGAAAAAGCAGTTGCAGAGCAAGCTGGGAAGTACATCCCTACCTCCGGGGCAATGTAGTCTGGAGTCCCGCAGAAAGTGTTGGTCCTTGCATCTCCTACCATGTTTTCCTTGCACATCCCAAAGTCTGCTATTTTGATGTGTCCATCTTTGTCTAGCAGGATATTATCTAGTTTCAGGTCCCTGAAAAACAAAAGCAAAGCTAAGTCCCACACTAGTAAATGCAATTAGAAGAACATTGTCACAGGAAGAAGGTAGCTGGTCTCATCATGGCCTGTCCTGGTGCACAAGGGGGAGATTAGCTAGCCCTTCCTCCTCCTTGCCACCTGATCCTTAGATCACAGCTCTGCTCAGTATGCCCTTCTCCCTGCTCTTTGGTGTTCACTTCTAGACCCACAGCTCATGCTCAGGTCTCTACCGGCAGCTGCCTTGGGCCTGACTCTCTGACAACTTCTTCTGCCCTGTATGCTCCACTCAGCAACTGGTGAATCTCTGGAGCATATTTCCTGTATGCATGAGCTGGCAGGTGAGAGAGTGCATGCATGTTTTGCGTCATCTCCTCAGTGCAGCATCCTATGATTTTTAAAAGGGGCTTTCACACAATGTCTGAATGTAAAGACAGGGCTAACAGTGCAATGCCTTCTGGGCCGGTGATGCATTTGGAGCAGGATAATCTCTAATGCTGTAGAGCACAACATGTACACAGGTGCATTGTTAAAAAGTGGGTGCAGACAAAGCTCATTGCTCAAGGTGCTGGCTGCTACTGCTGATTTTCTGATTTATCAAGGAGCACAACTCTATGTAAGGGAGGAAGAATATCAGCCTTTAACCCAGGACCTTTTCTGGAGCTAAGGATGAAGTGGGAATGACCTAAAAATATACTTACAGTATGCTATTTTTAAATACATTTTGGTTTTTGTGAATAAATTAGACTGCACCTAACTCCAAGTCTAGTTGAAAACACCATTCCTAACCATTGAAGAACCACTCTAGAACCAGAAGCCCCAGTAACAGAATGTCCCAATAACAGGACATCATTCTATACATTCTTCTTTCCTTAGAGAAACAGAATCCTCTTAAAATAGCTCATTCTATTCTCAGATAAGTGTAAGTGACAACTTTTTAAAAATAAACCAGCCACATTGTGCTTTCTTGTTATTTTACCCGCTGGTCTTTATAGTACTGTCACTACACATGATACCTCAAATATTTGAAATGACATCAAATTTTCTCTCATCTTTGCTTCACCAAGCTCACAGACTTTGTTTGGACACTTTAAACATCTAGAATTTTTCAGTTTTCTTCCTGAGAGGCGCTGCTCAGGATGGAAGCAACGTTCTCCAGGTGGGTGAGCTGACTGGTGCGGACTCAGAGACACTATCAGCTCCTCTTAGGATTCTCTGGCTTCTGGTAAGATGTCCTGTCCTTGTGTTAGGAACTTCTCCAGAACAGTGGTTGACAGTGAGATTACTATAAGCCAAAGCTTTCTATACAAAGTGACACTATTCACATTTCTTATTTTGCAACTGCAAAATTGACTTTTTAAAGATAATTTAAGTGTTTCACTTGCCATCAATTTTGGAAACTTTTATCCTGTTGACTTGAGTCAGTGAAATTCACAAATTCTAGTTTTTCATTCACATCTGTCTTTCTTGGGTTGTCTGCGCCTTCTAAGAACTAGATCTTTAAATCTAGAACATGTGGCTGTAACGGAAATCACTGCCCTGCTTGGTTAGCTAAAATAACATGGGTGGGAGTAGGAACAGCCATTGTTTTTATCTCTTGATGGAATTTTTAGATTAGGACTTTCTGAAGCTTTTTTCTTGAAGGTTCTCCTCCCAGAGGGTAAAGTAAGCAATATTTAGTGGATTGACTTGACTGGATCATTTATTTTCTATGTTATTGGATGCTTGAGTTGTGATACGACACTCTGTGTGTCTTGGTTAGGTCCCAGAGCTGCTATGGCACTGGCTCTGGGATGCCCTTGGATGAAATTGGGCACATTCAGATTGGTAAAACCTTAGATTCTTGCATGTCCTTGGAGAAATAGAAGACTAGCTTGTAAAAGAAGGAACAATGAAGTATGTAGGCCAAGAGCAGAAAATGAAGAGACAAGTGAGATGCTGCCCTGGTTTCCAATGGTCTACCTTCTTGCTTCTAAGTTCTTAATGAGACCTAACTTTTGTTTATGTAGATTTATGAGACTGGTCATCAATATTCATGTTCCTCTAAATTCCTGGAAGAAGCCACTTCCTTTATAGTCCCACTAGTAGGTGGTTAAATCACGTGATGGTGCACCTGCTTCTCTATATCTCAGGGCCTTGGGTCTTGTGGCTGTTCAACAACAGGCTTATAGTTAAACCTAGAGACATTTGTTTAACATTTTCCCATTTGTCCTTCCCTTTATTATTTCTGCATCTCCTCTGGACTCACTTCCTCCACTTGCAAAGCCTCTTTCCCTTAAAAGATTTACCTTCTGCTTAGAAAGTTTTGTTGGCAGATGCCTCTCCCTTACTCAGTTCTGAAGAGGTCTTTTCTTCCCTCTGCACTTACATTTTTAATTATATTATAATCAATTGGGTTTAAAAAAAAAGAATCTACTTCTTATGCCCTTTCATGTAATTCTACAGCATATTAAACCCAGAAAGTGGCATCTGTGGGTTAGGTCCTCTACATATTTTGTGGCCACCATAATGCTTAGCAAAGGGTTGTAATTCAGCAGACAATCTGTAATACCAGTTGTGGAGGGTTGGATGGTGGATGGTGGTCCTCAAAGATATCTCTATGTCCTGATCCCCAGAACTCTGATAATGTGACTTTATTTTTTTTTTAGAGAAAATGTCTTTGCAGATATAATTAAGAATTTCAAAAGGGGATCATGCTGGGCGTGTGTATGGATTAAATCTGTCCAGGACTATTCTAAGAGACACACAGAGGGTATGCATGTACAGAGAAGGGCATGTATAAGATAGAGGAGGAGACCGGTGTGATGCAGCCACAGCCAAAGAGGCCAGGAGATACGAGAGGCGAAGAGAGGCAAAGAAGGGGCCTCCAGAGCCTTTGATGCAAGCATTGATTCTGCCAGCACCTAAATCCAGAGTTTGCACCTCTAGAATTATAATAGAATAGTTTTGTTTCTTTAAGCCACTAAATTGGCAGTAAATTTATTTAAAACAGCCCATCAAAACTAATATATCAGTTTTGTGACCCTAGAAAATCATAATTGTATTTAATCAAAAGAAGAAAATTAATAAAAACTCCTTGTTCGATCAGTTGCCAAATTAAAAGTTTAGTTCAAATTACACATGAGCAGTCACCACATCAGCAGCACTGGCACCCCGCTCCCAGCCTGCTTATAGTTTTTAGCCTTCAGTCTGTAACAATCAGCATGCAATTTAGGATCAATGACTGTCCTCATTTTTAACTACCTGATGATAGCTTTTAAAAACCTCCTACAACTTTATGATTATGCCAAATAAGCCCGGCATTTTATCTTAGTGGTGTAGAAGAAGACTTAACATGATTTCCATGCATGGACAGAATAAGAGCTCTAAACTAGACATGTGTTGATTGTGCTAATAGTACTACTTACAGACCTTAACTGGTCTTTATGTTGCATGTGTCCAATAATTTAGAAGATGTGATAATAATTTAGAAGGTATGACAGAAGCACTGGGGTAGGGAAGAATAGATATGGTTAAGGGAGCTGCCTTCTACTTACAGATCTCTGTCTTTTTTGCTAATCTTCTTGATTTTTCCCACCCTCATATGCCTTGCTATCTTCCTTCTTCCCTTCCTTCTATTCATTCATCCATCTATCCACGCACCCATTCAATATAATCTTCTTAGCATCCAGGTACAAGTGTATTTTAGATATCACAGTCATTATAGATATATAGAGAAAAATATAAAACCTATGGATTCTGATCAAGGTGAGTTGCAACTTGATGGAGATTTTAAAAATCATAAAATATCTTCAAAATCTATTATTTTACAGACATATTTGCATTACATACATATATTATGATGTACATACATATATACACATATGTATATATGTACATAATTCTCTCTATATAAGTATATGTATAATATATACATAAGCCAGTTTAAAAAAAAATATATATATATATATATACAAAAGCCTGTTTAAGAAACCTGGCTTCCCAAACTTCCCTAGCTTCCGGTGATGCTAAATACTGTAGACTCACACTGACAGCCTCCGGAAATGAAGGGGTCCTTCCTCCTTAAGGGAATTTTCCAGATATACTGTAAGCACCAAAGCTTCAGTATTAACCAACTCTCTGTGCTGCTTGCTGTTTCAACAATCTGAGTGGAACACAATGAAATCTTTATTGGTGACTCCCAGTCATTGTGAGTCTGTCACAGAAGAGGTCCCTCTGAGTTTTCAGCAGCTTAGCCAGCCTCTTCTCCACTCCTCTCTTTATCGCTTTCTATTTTCCCCGCTCTAATCTACAGTGCACTGGAAACACGACAACTAAGCCTTTGAAGATTTGTATGTTAAGTAAGTGTCAACTGGGTTTTGAGAAAAGAAGAAAGAAGACTGAAATACAATAGCTCCCATCTGAGAGCTTTGGCAGCAGAGCATGAAATGATAGCACAGAATGGAGAAATTTTGGACTCATGAAAGAGCACACCAGGAGCATTCTGTGCACTTTTGCAAGGCATAAGACAGCAGGTTTTCGTGGGTATGTGAGTGTCCCAGAACTTCCCACCCCAACGAAGAGGGGAATATTTCACAGCAGGGATGGAATGATCACAATATGTTATATGTATGTATGAAAAAAAGCCTCAACACAAAAGGAGAATATTGCAAAAGTATTTCAAGGAGGTCCAAGTAAATATAAACAAAATCAAGAGGTACAAAGAGAAAAATGTGAGAGCAAAAAAGAGTAAGACATGAGAAAGGAGGATGTTGGAATGAAATGACAGAAAGGAAGAAGATGAGAGAATAAGAGTTAGGACCAGCATAAATAACAAAATCAGGTTAGAACCTTCTTGCTTTGGAGACTATAATTGCTTACCTGGTTGCTATCTAATCACCTTTCATGTAATCATGGTTAGCTGGAGGTCTGGGTGGGGAACGTTCTAACAATATCTTACTCACTGGCAATTTCACATCACTGAAGTGCAATGATTAAATTACCTGGGCCAGGAAATTAGACATCTTAGTAATTGTTTCCAAAGAGCACAACTTACCTATAGACAATTCCTTTGGAATGAAGGAACTGCAGACCAAGGATGATTTCAGCAGCATAAAATCTAAGGGAAAAAGCCAAGGTTCAACATGAATGTGTTAAGAGAACAAAATGAAGTCCCCAAAGCCTGTCTGATGCTTTATGCATGTTTAGTGCTTGACCGAATTATGCACACACATAATTTTGTTTAATCCTAAGAAGGAAAGTGTTATTCATTCTACACTTGAGAAAATGAACGGTCAGAGCATCCAGTCAGAGCCTTGAGTGTACAAAACAGAGCTGGGGTCTTAAGCCAGCCTCTCCTATAGTTCGTGTTTATTTATAAAGCATAATGTTTGTACTGTCATTTTCTGCTAATAAAACACACAGAGACATCAAATGTAATGATATAGCACAGTAGGAAAATAGTTATGCTTTTTATTTGAAAGTCTACTTCAAGCTCATAGTTCTACAAGGCGCAGTGATTTCGAATAGATCTGGCTGGCTTATTTTTATATTGACAATATTTGGCGTGCACAAGAAATACAGCCTGAGAGGTGTAAAAAAGGATATTAGAAGATGGAAAGTGATAAGTTACTGATCCTCAATGGTGACAGGCTTAAAGGAAATGAGTGAGCATAGCTTTAGTGGCATTAGGGCCAGATACAAGGGGAACATCCTGGAAGTGAGGCATGCAGGGCCTCATGGATGAACGCAAACATCTTCTTCCTTCCATTCAGAACAATGGACGGCATGTGTCCAAACTGACTTCATGCATGAAGCCAGGAGAGGACAGTGGGACAATCATTTGACCCCATCTAACAAAAATGCCCAGTGATTTCTGTGCAGCCAGAATCCCAGAAAATGATTTCTGAGTGCTTTGCTGAGGATTCCTGGAGGCAATGAAATGTGCTCATGCTATCCCCTAGATTTGACAAACTAGCTGTTTTAGTCAGGGTTTTTGTAGGACCAATGGACCAAGACCACCTTTCAAACCATTTCTACCCTAAGTCACTCAAAGTGTTCATGCAGAGGTGAGTGAATGTTGAGCCAGCATCGAGCAAAGAAATCTAGTATGGACCTGTCACTTTAGAGGAGCCTGATGGCACAGTTTGCTTTACTTGAATGTCATAGTGGGTTTAGGACACAGGAAGGACCCACGGGGACAGTGTATGCAGGTGCTGGTGGGACTCTGCAATGGCCCTACCAGGTTGACCCAGCCTGTACCTTCCCAATGGCATCTGTTACTGTTTGGTGTCAAAGAAGAGGAAGATTTCTTCTCAGATTGAGCAAATGTCTCTTCCAGTTTCCTTCCCCCAGAAGCCAGATGCTTTATGCTTTTGCACTGGGCTTCCCACTCAAGGCTTCAGCTAAAAGCTGCATCCCTGGGGTGACTTCCACTATTTGTGTTTCATTTGACTGCTTTCTTTCCAAAAAGCAAATATTTGCTTCTGTGCTTATTTACAAGTGAAGTGGTTCCTCATGAAAATAAGCAGTTGTTCTCAAAACATAGAGAAATAAAAGGGACACAAATTTCAGTTTTATAAACAGGGAAAATGATCGCTTTGTTTGGTAATACAGTAATCCCTAAGGTTTACATGGCCCTGGGATTTAGACATGCTGAATGAGGAGGTAAAAGAAATGTCACACTTATCACACAGGAAAAATATTTTGTCAGTGCTGGGTTTGCACAAACTGTTACAAACACGAACCCCCCCCCCCAATCCCTTTATTCAGCTCTTACGTGGCTCTGGGAAGGTCAAACTTGTGGCAACTTTGAATGTGGTACATTAAATCTCCTCCGTTGAGATACTCCATCACAAAAAAGAGATTTTCCTAGAGGAAAAAAGAAAATCTTAACTTTTATTTCCTTAAAAATAAAAGAGAAAGGAAAGAAGTTTTAGAAAATGGATTAATTTCATAAAAAACTATTCTATTTTGAAATAACTTACAAAAAGACTATCAAAATCATTTAGCTAATGTATATTTTTTAAACCCTAGGCTGGCTAAGGAATGGAGGTGCAATGTTGGGTACCATCTGCTTGTTTGCTGTGGGGTGCAGCTTGAACTTGCCCACTGGATCCTGGAAAAGAGTTGAGCCATTGATGGGTGCAGATCAGACAGTTGTTGAGATTAATGATGTAGAATATGGTCAAAACTAGGCTTCTGACCCAGAAGCGGGGCCCATAACAGTCAGTAAGTCAGCCCTGACCACATTCTGGGAGTGAGTGAGCACAGGATGTTCAGTTCTACTTCATCTATCAAAGGTGATGAGACAGAGCCCACTCTTTTGAAGACTGCAATCAAGTTTGCTTTATTCCTCCCCAGTCCACACTTCACTTGTTGCAGAGGCAAACCATGGTTTTGAGCATGTTCCTCCTAGCAGAGGGCACCACATGTGATATTAGACCTAGTGTCCTTGAGGGGCAGCCATCAAAATCAAGGCCGAGTGCTCTGCAGACTGTGGGTTGGGTTGTCAGAGGTCACTGAACTTTCAACCAGTCTGTGCTATGCAGACTCGTTGAGCACCCTGAATTTTCAAGGGTTCTTGAGACTCAACAGAATCAGTAACCTGTCAAATATAGGGATATAAGGGCATTTGGCATGTTTGTGTATGAATTTGCACCTAAAAACCTCATCGGCTGATTTTTAACACCTCACATCTGAATGTGTGACTAACCAAGGTCCTGCGTGTACAAGGCAATGGTATAAACAGTGATCTGGTCTTGGTGACATTCACAGCCTCTTGTTTGCACTGAGCTCAGTTTTCTACAAAGTAAGGAAATGCAAATGTTGTGATGATTGTCTTAATAATTCGGGTAAAATTGTGCCCATCTGCTTTTTCCAAAGATCCAGTTTCCTGATTCTAATCCTTTTTAAATGGAGCACACTTACCTTGTGGACAAGCCAAAATTTTCAGGTACCATAAATCTTAAATTGCTATTTCAGACTTCACTTGAGAGTAATTATTAGTGCATTTACACATACTTACCTTTTCCTTGACACACCTTATCTGTTGCTCTTGTTCCTTAAATACTTCATGAATAACTTCTAATTTTTACCTCTTTACTCAAAAACATACTGGCCCCACCCTAGCCACAGGGTGACATCTTCACTTAGGTACCCAGGAGAATGCAATGCTCAATACATACCATAAGACTACTTATAACAGTGCTCAGGGGAACATTGCCTTTAGTGTTAGGATGCTTACAAAGCTATATAAAGGTTGCAATTTCACAATGAATAAACTGCCAATTTAGACTTGGAGAAAATGTGGGGAGGAGATTGGAGACAAAAGTTCAGCTCCATCTCAAATGTTCTGCACACCAATCTCGCCTGTTCTCACAACTAAATTAGACTCTGCACTACTCGATGAGCGGGGAGTTGAAGCTGCCACTAAGAGTCCACAATACCCTGGGGCTTGGTGCGTAAGCTCTCCTTACTTCCACGGCAGTGAGAAGACTGCACTGCTACAGTCACTATTAATTAAACAGCAGTGGAGATTTTTCACATGTTGGATGCCACATTTAATCCCTCTAAGAGATTTGATGGCTCCACAGTAAATCTTTCAAAATAACCTGTTCCGGTTCTCATTTTGATACTAAGTCAGGACACTGAACAATCCAATTGCTTATCTCTTCTCATTTATGATGGCATTGTGTGTCAGTTTAAGTCCCCTGGGAGATCCTAAGATAACATTTAGGCTAAATGCTTCCCAGAGGATGGAAACGAATAATTCCATGCTCTTGAAAAAAAAATTGAAAATTAGGTTTCTTTTTGTGTTTTGGTCATCAGCTGACAGAAATTGCAAAACAGGGCTGGTGAACAGGGCTGGTAAGAGGGAGCAGGGCTTGTGCCTGGGTCAATGTTATATGACCGTCTAACCACTTGCTAAGTGATACATTAGCTGATGCAAATGACTTTTCCTGGTGAGTGAGAAGTGGAGCTGTGATAGTGTTGGGAGAAGAAACCCACAAATCCACCCCAGCCTGACAGTCTATCAACCGCCACTGGCACAGCATTTATTAAGTGGAATTCTAGTCTGTGAGCCAGATGCTAGACTGTCACTGTTTCATCATAAGCAAAAGGGGAGATGTCATCAAGAGACGCTGGAGTAAATTCCCTTTTCCTAGCCTAAGGACTGCATTTATGGAGTTTTCTCTTTTTCTTGGTCAAAAGATGATTATTAAGCACATTATACTGATATTTATGTAGAGCTTCCCAGATTGTAAAATAAACGTTGGCTAGAAGATATGCTGTGCTTGCAAACTTCTAGGAGAGATCACTGTCTAGAAATAATGCAGACTTGAAGTTAATTAAGGGATGAATCTTCTCTTTGAACCTTCCTCAGAGGAGTTGAGAATTATGGCGGGTTCATTATGGCCCACTAAAAGCTCTAGAAAGTTGTACGACAAAGGGCAGGGGCTTCCTTTGCTTAAATACCACCACCAGGACCACCACCACCACCCCGCCCCAGCAGGCTCACAGAGCGGGGCTACTGGTTAGTGCAAACACGTCTGTGTGTACACAGGTATAAAAGGCTCCAAGGATCATGAGTTGCTTAAATATTTGAATTCATCCCACCAAGGACAAAGGGTACAAAAGCAGACAGGTCAGAAGAGAATGTGGCTTTACCCTGCTTTGGGCAGAAAAGGACTAATGAGGATATTTTTGATTAGTCTTGGTATTTTGTTTCTAAAATGTGCGTCTCATTTTCTAAGGAGGAACTTAAGCAGATGTACCTGGAGCAAGGGAATGGAAACAGAGGGACTGATGATCTCTGGGACTTCTGCCTGCTTTTTTAGGTAACACAGACATGGCTTTTGGTCAAGTGGCTTTCTGGATAAGTGAATTTTACATTTGCTCAACCAGGAGAGGAAACACTAAAATTTTGCCAACTCTGTTGGTATTAAGTCAAACATACTGATTTGTAAGGTGAACATTCTTACAAGGCTTCCTGTACTACAGTGCATGGTCTTTGGAGTGTGCCTGTGAATGTCCTTCCATTGTCCACTGTATTGATTAATAATATAAGATATCAAGCTCTTTGTATCTTGGAGGTGAAGTGGTTTCATCTGGAGTCTGAGTGTGCAGTTATATCAGGGCTCTTGGAAGTGGAGATTGACTGGGTAACGCTCATGTGCCTTGGCTAAAAGAAAAACATTCAATGTACGACTCAGTGACATTTACTAATGAACTTTCCAGTTTTCAAAAATATACCTACAGCATGCATGCTGCTCTGTCTGCTAAAAGTATAAAAATGAGACAACCACAGTTATTCACTGCTTTGCTGTGATTTTCCCACAACTGATTGAAAGGAATAATCAATGTCAATATTCTGTTGATACATGTAAAATCAAACCTCTACTTTTTGATTATTTTCTTGGTGCTTTAAAATGCAAATGATTCTTGCAAAATTACTTAAATATATACATGAAACACTGTCAAAATATCCCAGTATTTTTAAGAGAATTCTGTATATTTGCATATGAAGTAGTATATTTCTCAGAGCATCTACAAATATCACTTGGCTGATAGAACTATCTACATATTTTGTTTTCTTCTGTATTTCTAAAAATATAAGATCACTTTGGGTGACTCTGAAACTCAGATTCTTCTATATTAATTTTCTGTGTTAAAGATCTGCGTAACAAGTTAGTTGTAAAGGTGACCTGTTCTTGTGAAAGTAAAGAGTTAAAAAATTGTATTTAAGAATAAAAAGCTTACAATAGTTTGTGAATACAGAAACTGGAAACAGTCAATTTTTTTGGTCTTTTTCTTTTTTTTATCGATGCCAGGGATTGAATTCACAACCGCACATTTGCAAGGCAAGCGCTTATGCCACTGAGCGAAATCCCCAGCCCCTGAAACAGTCAATTTTTAAAATAAGAAATAACTTCAGCAGTTTTCAGGGCCAAATCTTTCAATCACTGAGCTAATTGTAGCCCACTATCCTGATATCTGTCTGGGACTCTGCCTTTGTATCAACTACCTATACATGGTGGGTTGATTTGTGTGAGTACAGATGGAGATTCCCTGTGGTGTGTGGACTACCATGGTGAAGCTTTGCATTCTCCAAGTCTGCTTCTCAAAGAGAAAGGATGTACACATCGTCTGGTAGAGCCATCCCCCAAAATGAGCTGCAAGGCCATCCTTTTGACATTTGCCCTCTGTGAGTAAAGGGAGGTCTTGGTGGTTTGGTGAGGACCACAGACATGTCCAAGCACACACTTGACAGGTAATGAATGCTTTAGATGGGGATGGGATTATATTTCTAGCTTACCACATGGGACAGTGTCCTGTCAGGGGTGAAATATCCTCCTAGTGTATTTGAACATCCCACATTAGTGTGGCCACATTCACATTAAATTTTTGAGGTACGCTGGTATTTGGAAGGCAATTTAGACTCTGGAGTAACTATTATGAATATATTTGGCTATAAAACAGATTTTTGCTTTTTCATAAGGATACATCATTAAAAATACAACAGACTTGTGTACTTTTTATATTGAGAGAAAAAAAGAGGAGAAAGAGAATGAGAATGAAAGAAAGGGATTCAGAGAGCAACGATTTTCTGAAAACCAGCAGATGCATTCATTAGGGTTTGTTTATATTTCTACTGTGGACTCTAATCAGTAAAATTCACTATCTTCCATTGATTCATTAGTGTGTGTCAGAACTAATGCTCCTGAATTTCTAGAAGTCCGTACCTTGCAACAGGGATTTGGGCTCAGTTGGTATTTACTGCCTTAATTGTCCCATAGGACTTTTCTGGTCTTAACTAATAAAGTCTTTTCCTTCACAGCAAAAGTACAAATAGAGCTCTTTCGTGAATT